GAGGAAATGAAGGGAACTGGCCCAGCAGGGCACATACTCCTGGCTGCCAAACTCAACAGGGAAAAGGAATTTTCTATTTGGAGTCAGAGCTCTTTGCTGAGATCTCCCTAGATCTTTCCTGATATTGGTGTGCTTTAAATTAATATTTTGTAGCTAATGTACTGAATAACAGAACCTGAATTCAAAGAATGAGGGGGAGAATCTAATAAGACAACATTTAACCTAGAAAAATAGAAGCTTCTGTACATGGGTTACAGGGATGTATGAAACAGATCTAGGGGGAGGGTCTCAGTTGACTGCAACTTAAACTGGATTCAACTGTAACCCTGTCAAGGTAGTTCAGTTGGTTAGAGCATTGTTCAGCTACACCAAGGTTACTGGTTCGATCCTCGGTCAAGGCACAAACAAGAATAAACCAATGAATGCATCAATGGGTGGCAAATCGATGTTTCTCTCTCTCTTTTTTTCCAATCAGTAAAACAAAAAAGTCTCTAAATCAATTATGCAATGCATTTTTAAAAACATATCTTTATTGATTTCAGAGAGTGGCAGAGAGAGAAAGAAACATCGATGATTAGAGAGAATGATTGATCAACTGCTTCCTGCACACCCCTTACTGGGGATCAAAGCCTGAAACTTGGGCATTTACTCTGACAGGGAATTGAACGATGACCTCCTGGTTCATGGGTCATCAACTCCACTGAGCCACACCAGCTGGGTGATGCAATTGGTTCTTTAAAAAATACACACAAGCCCTAACCGGTTTGGCTCAGTGGATAGAGCATCGGCCTGTGGACTGAAAGGTCCCAGGTTCGATTCCAGTTAAAAGCATGTACCTTGGTTGCGGACACATCTTCAGTAGGGGGTGCAGGAGGCAGCTGATTGATGTTGCTCTCTCATCAAAGTTTCTAACTCTCTATCCTTCTCCCTTCCTCTCTGTAAAAAAATCAATGAAATATATTTTTTTTAAAATACTCGCAACTGGATTCAACTGTGATATGGCATCCACAATATCCGCTATGATCTTAGGATGTATGTATAGACGTATAGTGTCTATTCTAGAATGAAGGATGTGATAAGATCATTCCATTCTACACTAGTCAGAATATCTAGTATTTTCAGAGAAATTTACAAATTCAGAAATATATAGGATGGTCAGTGACTTTGAAAAGATATATAACATCAGAAAGAGATGAAATAAGAGAGGAGGTTTTTCTTTTTTTTATAAGAACATAACTGTTTAAGGACTAAATGAGATAACACATTGAAAGTGCATAGTTAGAATGCCCAATGTAAGTAACCAATTAATATTAATAATATAAGGATGATAATTAGTGCTATTAGCACTGTCATGCTGGAAAACAAACCAGTTTCACTAAAAAAGAGATGTTGACAGGAAGCCAGGAAGGCTGGTCAACAACCTTAATTGTTCTAACCGTTAGTTGAAATATTGTTAGCTAAAGCAGCCTCCACCTTGTTTGTCCCTTGAAAGTTTCTGTTATTTCCTGCCTAAGGGCTACATGTAAATTTCTGTTTATGTTGCCTAAGATGTTTTCCCCAAAGCCTCAATAAAAGGGGATGGCAGGGCCAGAGCAGTAGTTCTCCCACTAGAGTTGGACTACCACCTGGCCCCCCCATATCGCCAAGTTGAATTTCTTCAAGTCTCAAGTCTCTTCATTTGTGTGTGGCCCTTCTCCAGAACCTGAACCCTGAATTGGAACTCTTTCTATGTGGGCCGTGAAAGAGATTCCTATAATGTCATACTATTATTATTACTATTATCATAGTTAATGCTTATAGAGTGCTTTCTATATGCTAGGTATTCTTCCGGGCATATACTGAATCGTTCCTCTTACCAATCCTATAAGGTAGGAACTATTATGTCTCCAAGTTTAAAGATGAGGAAGTTGAGTCACAGAAAGGTCAAGTAGATTGCTTCACAGATGGGAAGGGAAAAGAACCAGTACATTGACTCTGGTATGTCAGGCTATCAAGGGTAAAAGGCACTTTTATATCTTAGACTTGTACCCTCCAAAGGGTAGAACCAAGATGTGTGTAAACTATTGGGAAGAAGATTCAGCACAACAACATCAAAAACCCATTCTGAATGATTAGAATTGCCTGAACTTTCAATAGGGGGTCTTTTAAGGTAATGAGTTCTCCATCACAGGTTGTAAGGAAAAAAGGATAGAAATGAAAAAATGAATGAAATGGGGCTCCTCTTAGAAAGAAACCATACAAATAATGAAACCACGCCTTCGTGGAAAAAAAAATAAATATAGTGCAGTGCAACTTGGGTTTAAAAAGTAACAATTATGGAAAATATATAAAGGTGAACTAATATCTGTCTTTTTGCTATCTCAACCAAGAATAAATTAAATGTTGGACAAAAAGTTACAAAATGGATAATAACACGTATGAATTTGTTTGGAAACGTACTACATGGTCACACTGGATTTGAGAGAAGCAATCTCAAGATCTTCACAGATGTAATCACCACCTACCCTGAAAGTATAAAATTCAGAGAAGAGAGGTATGGTCTGCTCTCTGAAAGAAAGGGCATCCACATGAGAAAGTAGCATCCAGGCTGATGGGAGTAGGTGAGATACAGGCATGAGGGTGAAGATCATAAAACCCAATTTGATCCCAAAATACAGAGTTGTAATGACAATTATGTTAGTATAATTTTAATCCCACTACTCAGTGTGTGGTCAACAGAATTACTGAATGTCCTCTGTGCTGAAACTATTTTTTTGGGTCTAGCAGTCCCATGCCCCAAATACTTGCTGATTTAGTGAATTAATAAAAACTTCCTCAACCAGCAACACCAAGAGACAGGTGGTTAAGGATCTGAGTCCCAGCAAAATCTCTTGCTTCTATTATGAAAAATAATGACTGAATAGTATATATATTATGAATAATATATACTGTATAAAATACTTATATTATTTACATTACTCTCTCCCTCTCCTCCCACCTCTCATAAAAACATAATATGCTAATTAGACTGGATGTCATTCTGGAAGACCTTTTGGATGAAGCTGGGGCTGCGAGGGAAGTCCAGGTTCCGGGTGCTGGAGGGAAGCAGGTGCCGGCAGCTGGGGGAAGGAAGGCCTACTCTTGCATGCATCAGGCCTCTAATATATATATAAAATGTCACACTCTGCACCAAAAATGCTCCCATTTCAGCTAAGTTCCCAGACTATTTGTACTTAGACAAATATATATTTTGATTTATGAAACTCAAAGTATTCAGTCTTGCCCTAACCAGTTTGGCTCAGTGTATGGAGAGTCAGCCTGAGGACTGAAAGGTCCCAGGTTCGATTCCAGTCAAGGGCATGTACCTTGGTTGCAAGCACATCCCCAGTAGGAGGTGTGCAAGAGGCCGCTTATTGATGTTTCTCTCTCATCAATGTTTCTAACTCTCTATCCTTCTCCCTTCCTCTCTGTAAAAAAATCAATAAAATATTAAAAAGTATTCAGTCTTTTTAGAATTACATACTTTACAAACTTAATTCTTTCTACAGTTCTAGAACTGAATGATTACCAAATTACACTAGACTCTAGAGCTTCTATTTGTGATATAGGTGTGATGGCTCACAAAAAAATAAAATTCTTAAGTAATGGAAAAATGAAAGGCTATCTCTCATTAAAGTGATGAGATGCAAACCATGTTGACAGAGCCTACATGGACACGATAGAGTTATGGATATGGATTTAAACTGGGAGAGGTGGCATATGATATTGATTCATTAAAGAGAAATAGTCAAATTTCAGTGCAGGATCTGGAGTGAAGGGGAAATATTGGGCCTTGGTGACTGATAACGTGAGAAAGGGAGAGAGGTGGTATCAGGGGAAGCTGCTGAGAGGAAGAGGCAATAACCCCCAAGGCTGGATACTGAGCATCCCTGGTAACCAGGAAAAGGCAAATATAAACAAAGAGAGGTGAGTGAAGATGCCTGGTGCACTGAGGATCTGGAAATACTGGCAGATTGCTGCAGCACCGCAGTGGGTCAAAGTGGTAACTGGGGATCTGAGCTGGGTGGTGACGCGAGGACCTCACGTGACCAGGAGCCTATGTCTGCCCAAGTCCCTCTCATCCTGGTCCTTTTTGCCAGTCCAGACACCATCTGCCCTTTGGTGGAGGGGAAAAGCAGAAGGAAGTAAGTCCCCGCGGTCCTCTGAAATCGGTGTGAGTGTCAGTGCTGCCCAGTAACCCTAGGGACCAGGATGGCAGAGTCCAGGCCTTTCCCTATGCCGCGCCCCCACTTCGGTGCAGAAAATGGTGGTTTTGGGGGTGGGGAGGTGAATGGACCAACCCTGGGAGGGAGCCACAGACACTTAGATATAGATTCTAAATAATCCTTAGCTTCCAAATCCCGCCTGAAAAGACATGGTGAGCACCGAAGGGTGGGGGTGGGGGGCCCGAAGGACAAAGCTTGAGACGAAGGGAGACTTGGAGGGGGTGGGGGTGCCTGGCTGAGGGGGAAGCAAAGCCGGCTGGCGCGGGATTGGCGGCTGGTGCCCAGAAAGGGACGCGAGTGTCGGTCAGTCCTTCCTCCCTACCCACTCCCTTCCCCGTACCCTGTCTGGCGTCCGTCTGCAGGTCTGCAGGTCACAGCGGAGAGAAAGCCTGGGAGCAAACGGCCTGGAGAGGTCCGGGTCCAGGAAGGGTTAGGCAGGGACCGCGATGGGGTGCGCGAAGGCCGCCGGTGGGAACCGAGTCACGGTGGCGTTACCGCCCCGCCCCTGCCGCTGCGGGAGAGGCCCCGGGCAAGGCCTGCTGGGAAAACGGTGGGCTTTCGGGAAGGAGGGGGCGACCTGGGCGGGGTCCGGAGGTCAGGGTTTCTTGGCCTGGGTGGGAGGACCTGGTCCCCGAATCAGGAAAAGGCAGCTTTTGGAACCCAGGGCCGGGCTTTTGGTCCAGCCACCAAATATGCTGACTCGACTGTCTTTCTTGTCTCTTCCGAATAACCGTGCTTATGAAAGCTGTTCCCAGCATGGACAGACCCTGCCAAGCGAATGACCAGCCACAGGGCGTGCCCGAGACGGACGAGGAGCAGCCTCAGGTGGAGCCCTCGCCCCAAGAGCCTAGCCCGGAGGAGCATCGCCCGGAAGAGCCTTGTCCGGAGGAGCTTTCTACCGAGGAGCCATCTTCGGAAGACCAATCCTCCTCTGAGGAGGAGTTCTTTCCTGAGGAGCTCCTTCCCGAGCTCCTTCCCGAGCTGCTGGGGCCCGAGGGGCGCCCCCCAGAGGAGCGCCTTTCCGGGCCGGAACTGTTCGAGGCGTGCCCTCCCATGGAGCAGCCTCCCTGCGGAGTGGGAAAACACAAGCTGGAAGAAGGAAGCTTTAAGGAGAGACTGGCACGCTCTCGCCCGCAGTTTAAAGGGGACATACATGGCAGAAATTTGAGCAACGAGGAGATGATACAGGTAGCAGAGGAGATGGAAGAGATGAAAAGAATACGAAACAAATTGATGATCATGCACTGGAAGGCGAGACGGAACCGTCCTTATCCTATTTAATGTGTCCGGCCTTTAATGCTGGTTTGCCTAATATCAGTATTGCCACTCGAATCCCTCTCGCCATCTTCCTAATTTTAACTTTTTTTTTGCATGGCTTTCTTTAAGGTGTTCCGCTTGTAACTGGTGTAAAATTGGGCTTCCTTCTCCTCCCATCTGCAAGTCTCCCTATCAATCATATGTCTCATCCATTTGCATGGACAGATGAACATTATATATTGTGAAGTGAAAAAGGCAATTTTCAAAAAGTATATGTAGTATCCCATTTTTGTAAAAAATGTATATTTATATATTAATATGCAAAGTAAAACAAAGTATATACTTCAAAGGCTTAACAATGGCTGTCTTTGTGGTAAGAAAATAGGTGTTTGTTTTTTATTTTTGCTTTGTTGGAACGTCTCATTTTTTCAGGACGAACAGATTTTACTTGTGTTGCAAAAATTCCACACCCCAATATAATGGGGGAAATGTCAAGCAGTTTACACACTTATCACCTTATAAAGACAATGTAGCACTTAATAAATACTTGTCAGAACTATTAAAAAAATCCCATATTTCTTCTGAATCTCAGGCAGAAATATGTATTTGTTTAAGGATTAATCTTTTCTCACTTAAATAGGAGTAATACTTGACTTACAGGGCTGCTGTGGACAAAATGAGGTAAAAATCATGTGAGCTGTGTGTGTTTTTCCCCACTTGCAACATTCAGAAACCCAACCCCTAGAGCAAGCTTGAGCCAGGAAGGAGGGCTAACTCAATTCCTGTGAGATTCAAGGTGAACGCCACATTTTATTCCTGCCCTGCTTTTCACTTCCTTTGGATACTGTCATGTCTGTTAGGCACAGCTGCCCTTCTCTTGGGTCCTGCTCCTTCCACGACGCCCATCACTGGATGAAGTCTCACTGATAGCTCTGGAGTCCCTGCTGAGCCAAAGCTGAACTGTGTTTCCTACAAATATTCAGTGAATGCGCCTCCTCCAGTTTTAATATTATACTTACCCAGGTGGATACCATCCCAGGGCTGCTTAAATGTCAATGTCTTAAAGAGCTCTTAGCAAAATAGTCCTTCCTATTTTATTTTTTTCTGAAAGCCTCCCTTTTCTCAATTGGACTCAACCATGAGTTCATTGGGTCCTGGCTAGGAAGCAAATTTGTGAGCCAGACACAATGATGTGTACTTGGAATTGGAACCTTCCTCCCAAATAATCTCCAATGATTTTGATTTTAATTGCTTAAAACTTGCTTTAGGATGAGTTCTCTTCTGGCAGGCTTGTCTGATCAATTCAGCTGACTTGCTCAACTTGTTTACACTAAAGAAGAAAGTAAGGCCCAAGCTTGGACTTTAACTTTCTACCCCACTTACAAAGTACTTTTGTGTGTGTGTGTGTGTGTGTGTGTGTGTATCAGATATTATGATTCCTCTGTTAAACTACCTTTATAAAACCTATAATTTTGTTCTATTAATCATATTAATTCTAGACACACAGATGGTGGTTAGTAATTTTTTTAAAATATGACTGGGGCCTGGCTAGCATGGCTCAGTGGTAGAGCATCCACTGGGCCTATCAACTGGAAGGTCAGGGTTTGATTCCTGGTCAGAGCACATGCCCGGGTTATGGGCTCGATCCCTGGTGTGGGGCATGCAGGAGGTAGCCAATCAATGATTCTCTCTCATCATTGATGTTTCTATCTCTCTCCCTCCCTTTCTGAAATCAATAAAAATGTTTTTAAAAAGTATGACTCAGTCATGAAACCTAATTTCTGTTTGACTAGTAAGCTTCAGTGAGCGTTAACTTCTCCAGAAGGTATACTTTGCATTTCCAAAAGGATCACGGTGGGGTAGAGGGATTATTTCCAAAATTTAACATTAAAATTGGTTATATATTTCATATATTAGTATTTCCCTTATTAAAAATGCAGAGACCTGGGCTCTACCCCAGACCCACTAAATCTGCTTTTCTATAAATTAGCACACAAATCACAGAGCCACTGCTCTATACAATATACTTCTAATTTTTTTAAATGTCTTTATTGATTTTATAGAGAGAAGGGGAAGGGAGAGGGAAAGATAGAAACATCAATAAGAGAGAAACATCAATTGGCTGCCTCCTGAATGCCCCTTCCTAGGGATGGAGCCCAAAACTCATGCATATTCCCTGACCAGGAATTGAATTGATGACCTCTTGGTTCATGGGTTGATGCTCAACCACTGAGCAACACCAGCTGGGCAATATACTCCTGACTTTAGTACTAATAAACTATGACACAGAAGAAAATACAGATGATTATATCAAAATCAAAAGAGTGAAAGTCTTGTTCAAGCACATTTTAATTTTTATTATTTATTTTTTAATATATTTTATTGATTTCAGAGAGGAAGGGAGGGGAGAGAGAGAACCATCAATGATGAGAGAGTATCATTGATTGCTTGCCTCCTATATACCCCACACTAATCAAAGCCCAAAACCCTAATCAAAACAAGATTTCCTGGTTCGTAGGTCAACTCTCAACCAACTGAGCCCTGGCTGGATTTGACTTTTTATTTTTCCACTGTGTGATGCCATTGGGAGGGTCTTCATGTCTCCAGAGCAGTCTTCAAGGTTATGGAAGCCTGGTGAATGCTGGTGGGGCTGGATTCCAGCTGGAGTGAGATGAGGGTGCAGGGGCTCACTGTGGCAATTTTACAGACAGCTGAATCCATCCCCTGGTGCTCTGAGGTTTAGAAGGACTCACCCCAACCACACTCACCTCCAGAGTGTCTGACTTTGGCTTCTCTGCTCCAGCCTGCAGCAGGCACCAGACCCTCCTAGGCTGATGGCCAGGCAGTCCTGGACATACTAGTACTAACCTGGAGGACGGTGATTGGCCCCATCTGAAGGCAGAGCACTTTGCCTTTCCCTCCTTCTCTGTTTCTCTTTTGGAGAACTTTGTAGGGGAGGAGATAAAGCCCCCATTTCTAACTGCTAACTTTGTTTGGGATCATCTTTGAGCAAGAAGATGTCTGACCTGGGCTTGAACTGGTAACTTGGGGATGAAGCAGCCCTCTCTCATTACTCCCTATCCACTTTGCTCAGACTCCTATTAGGGCCTTGGATGGTTCTGCGGTAACTTGAGCTGTGTGTGTGCCTGGCTCAGTGCTTGTGATGTCTGCATCAGTCCAGGGAGCTTGCAAAACCATGTGGTCTTTCAACTCAGGGTGTTGTAGGGTCGTACCCTGGGTTCAAAATAAGACCACCGGAGGCTGATGATTAATTTTAAAAAAGCAGTCAAGGATTTATTGAACTGGCCAGGACAGCCGCGAGAGCACCACACGCAGGTGGTCTCCACACGACTGCACCGTTTCAGGGGTAGGCAATTCCTTTTAAAGGTTTAAACCACAAGAATTTTCCTTTTGTTCCTAAATCCTAAAGACTAAATTCTAAAGACTGGGGACAGCCCGCAGGGTTGGTTTCCAGTCACATCCTGCTGGACATTGGAATGTGGCCCTATCTTGCAATAGCGATAACACAGAAGCAGAGCTCAGTGGTTAGTCTCTAAAGGTTATCTACAGTTTCTATCCCTGAAGCTACTGACTCAGTGGGAATCAATCTCCTGTGGTCCTGGTCCCAGGCAAGGGAAAATTGCCTTAGCCTCCAGGTCTCCACCTGGAAACTGAGGTAAGTATTCCGTGTTTAATCAGGCAGAAGACAGACTTAGCCTGGTTAAAATTCAAACAGCAGTTTTTACCAAAGTATGGTTGCCAAGGGAAAAAGCGTGTCATTACCTGTATGAACACCCTTATGCACTGCAAGTCCAGCTCATGACTTAGGGCCAAGGAGGTCAAGCTGTGAATTGGTGTGAAGATGCTTCTGAAGACATTGATTGTGGGATCCCTTAACACAACCCACATGGTTCAGGGCCCACTCAGAGTCCCTAAAATGAAGAGAAACTGGGACTAGAAAAGAGTTAATTTTGGAAAAATGGGGGCCAAAAGGGAAGTCCACCTCTAGTGGGAGGACTACCCCTTCTCTGGCCTTTTCCTATTCCTTTTATTGAAATTCTGAGACAAAGACATCTCTATTAGGATTAAAAGTATTGTTTATACCCAACTGGCATGGCTCAATAGTTGAGTGCTGTTGACCTGTAAACCAGGAGGTCACAGTATGATTCCCCGTCAGGGCACATGCCCAGATTGCAGGCTCAGTCCCCAGGTAGGCCATGGCCAATCAATGATTCTCTCTCATCATTGATGGTTCTATTTCTCTCCCCCTCTCCCTTCTCTCTTCCTCTCTAAAATCAATAAAAATATATTTTTTTAAAAAAGAACAGGCTCTAAGAATGAAAATCGGGGGTATGCATATACAATTAGACTGTAGTGGTTCTCAACCTTTTTTTTTTTTTATCAATCTTTATTGTTCATATTATTACAAAGGTTCCTCATTTCTTCCCCCCTCCACCAGGTTCCCACCCCACCCTCCGCCCCCTTACCCTCCCCCATTGTCCTCATCCATAGGTGCACAGTTTATGTTCAGTCTCTTCCTCCCTCCCTTTCCCCGATAATAAATCCCTTTTCAGATAGTAAATCAGTTACTTAGCATTTTCTCATATCAATAATACCTCCACATGCCCAAAGATACACTTCACACAAAAGACATTTCCAAATAGGTCAACCAACCTCATCCAGGCCCCGCACAAGGCACTCACAGATCAACATCCCAGCGCTATACTAACTCAACATACCCAGATCTAAGCCTTCATCACTTGATTCAGCAGACCCTCAAGTTCCCCCAAAAGTTTCCAACCATGTCTGAGAGGCAGCCTAGGGGCGGGGGCAGGCGAGGAGCGAGCTGTTCCGGTCCTGGCTGCCTCAGGCCTGGCCTCTGTTGCTCTGGTCCTTTCCACAACCAGCTGCTCCGGGTCTGGCCCCTGCCACTCCCATCCTGGTTGCTCTGGGCTTGGTTGCTGCTGCTCCAGGCCTGGCCGCACCCAACTCGGCCGCTCCGGGCCTGGCAGCTCCCAGCCTGG